TTTTCTTTGAAAGGATCGGTTGTCATAATGGAGAAATGCATTTATAATCCACTGTAGAAGAAGCAGACACCAGCCATAAGTGGATATGTTGCAAATGCATTGCAACAGAGCCACAGAAGTGCATCTAAATGTAGTTTGTGACTTGTTATCTAGTATCTGCAGCTCTTATCTGTTCAACATGGGCCCAGATCTGCAAATTCATTCTTGCTGTAGTCATGCTGACCAATTAAACTTCTGCTTATCGTTTTGCTCTCACACACTGTTGACCACATATTCTCACCGTGAAGCGCTGTACAAATACAGGCCGTTTTATATCTTACAAAATAAGTTGTGTTGCACTGTTGTATTTTAACCTGTTTTTAGTATTATCTGCCTGTATGCCTCGTTGTCAGTAATAGCCATGGCTGGAGATATTAAGTTTAAGGGTTGCCTGTCTGTTTGTGCTTATGGACTCGATATCTTGGGAGAGCCTTAAGGGAATTTCTTCCTCTCGGACTAAAGGATGAACCAGTTACATGGAAGCAGAATTGCATGACTTGAGGAAACATTGTAATGTGGAATAACATTTTTCAGTTCGATGTATTGTGTTACATAAACAAATACCCACACGTGCCATTACAGTTCTAGTGTTTGTGCTGGTCCTGTTAGCATGGACCTCAAACACTTTAAGCCCACTGGATAAAGCAATGAAACTACAACACACTCCTTACTTCCTTTTCTCAGATATCTTGGGTGTTGGAGCAGCACGAGACTTCATCCTCCAGCGATGACCTCACGGCAGTGAGAAACAACACCGACCAGATGTTATGTTTGTTGGCAGAGGAGCGTCCTGCTGAGAGCTCAGAGAGCGGCACCAGCGTGCCACCCATGGGGCCCATACTGGAGCTTGTGGTCACAGAGAATATCCTGGAGAGGCTGGTTCAGTGGCACCTTCGCCGTGGCTTGGACCCAGACAGCCAGGGTGCACTGCTCAAACTGTTTGAGATGCTTATCGGTCAGTCCCAGCAGCCCCTGCTCCAGCACACAGCCATTCTCCACCCCCTTCTTAGGCTCCTGGGAGCTTGTGCTGACCCAGAACTTGGCTGTCCTTCAGCTCTGGAGAACAGCCTGGTATTGTTGCTTAACCAGGTACATACAAACCTACAGTCTTTTCCAGTGTGTGTATGCAGTCACTATAAACAAAATATATTTCACAGATAGTAGACATCCCACAAATGACACACAAGTTTTGGTTTATTTTTTGTGTTAAAATTGAATGGATGTGAGATGACTGAGAATTGAAGGCTGGAAAAATTGGCTGTTGTATTAAAAACCTTAGCTGAGCTGTGGCTCTTCATAAAATCTGACAATTTGAATTATAGTAATTTTTCATTTGCTGTTGGCTTCCTGGAGGTGACTCAGTCAGCATCGTCTGTGACCTCTGCCTCTCCTCAGGTGTTGGCGACAGGCCTGAGCGCTCTTTATTCCTCTCTGCCGAGAAAGATAGAAGTTATAGTAATTTTTCATTTGCTGTTGCTTCTGCTGCATTTACTGTTTGCATGCTGTTTGCTAGATTTTATTATCTTAAAATGTAATTTGATTGATATCTTTTTCATGCAGCAATTGATTGAGAAACCAACAAATGAGAGCATCACATGCTGTGGCGTTTTTCTCCCCCAAACAATAAAGTTAGCTGAATATAGTCCAGCTCAGGTTACTGATTGATCAGGAGACGTACCATTTAATTGCAGGGGTTCCACTTCAAAAGCCAGGTGAAT